TATCAATCGAAAGGAGACTGCGACCACACCAGAGGCCACAACATCTTGGTCTTCATATATTCAAGGCTGTATGAAGTTGAATGGAAGTGTGATTTTGACATAATTCACTTGCATTGGCTCCTCATCATTCTGCGTAGCCTTGGCTGACTGGGGCTGTTGTCGTCCTCAAGCCGCGAGTTCGGAGCATGACGTGAAAGCAGGTCATGCGAAAAGCGGTGAAGAGTGTCGCTTGCTCACCTCCCGCCCAATTCGAGCTCCCTCTTTCTCCGCTTCTCGAACCTGGTCCGGGAGCTGTTGGCGCCGTTGGCTCGCCATCGTCTACAGACAACATCCTCCCGCGGTTGGTCCATCGCCGCGTGCACTTCAACTTCGTTGCCGTGGCTGCAGAAAGTTGGTTTGGTCTCGTCGTGACAACTTGAACAACCTACCCAGTCCTGCCTCTTTAACCAGAGTTGAGAAGTCATGACCATCTTAAGCATTCTCAGTCGTCTTTCCGGCCATATTGTCGGCATCATGAATGACAAGCGCCGAGTGATAGCTGAAGGCAAGCCTCTTGATCATTTTTATTTTGACCTTTGTTCAATCTATTTTGTCCCACAACAATATGAGTGGGCATACTGTTTTCCATTGCTTTCTCGAAAGTTATTCTCATCCAGGCTGGAGGTGATTGTCGTTTCGACCTCGCCTAAGTCTTATCAGCACCCCCAGCGGGAGTCGGACCGTGGCGATGCAAGCAAAGCTATGTGAACTTCGGGGCCAGCGCCATGTCTGGTCATCAGATTGTGGGAGAATTCAACCGCCGGCAATTCATCATCTTAAACGAAATGAGGCGAACACAGCTCAGATATCTGATTTACTGGTAGTCTCAGGGCGAAATACTTTAATTGAAGATATGAAGACCAAGATGGTGCGGCTTCTGGTATGGTCGCAGTCTCCTATCACCTTTCGATGTACAGAAGTGGGTTGACCTCGTTATCGCAACTTGGTAGAACGCACCTAGCCAGCGGGATCAGGTAATATTATCGCCTTTTGGATCTGCTACTTGAAAGGTATTTAGTCGGAGGACAAGACCTGGCAGATGCATATGTTCTCGAGATATGTTCACTCGAACTTGTCTAAGTTGATGAAGGACTGGTAGATGAAATTTCCCACAATGATATCAGTAGAGTTGACGATTCCATTCGCACACTGTATTTTCATCCAGGTTGGGGTGGACTGTAGTTTAGACCTCGCCTCGGTCTTATCAACACCCCCAGCGGGACTCGAATGATGACAGTGCAGCGTGTAATCTCGACAATGTTAACCACAAATGTAAAGACATCTGAGATAACTAGTTTGCTTGTATTCGTATTTGAGTAGAGTTTCGAGACTACCAGTAAATCAGTAATATGAAAGGTATTCACCCTATTTCATTTAAGGTAACAGTTGAATTTGCTCACAATGATATGAGCAGAGCTGACGATTCCATTAAATTTCACATAGCCTTGCTTTCCCAAAAGTTGTTCTCATTAGCAGAGCAAGGATATGTGAAATTCAATGGAAACGTTAGTTCTACTCATATCATCATGGGAAAATTCTACTAGCAGTCTTTCATCCCCTTAGACGAAATAGGGTAAATGCATCTCATATTAATTTACTTGTAGTCACGAAACACAATTTATAAAGGGAAAATAAGTAATATAAGATATGAAGACCAAGATGGTGTGGCCGCTGATATGGTCGCAGTCTCCTTTCTTTCGATTTATAGAAGTGGGTTGACCTCGTTGTCGCGACTTGTTCTTGTTGTCAGGGCGACTTAGTAGAACGCACCAAATCCGAAGTCGTCTGCCATAGTAGTTGTCATAATCCCCAACATCAGACAGTGGACATTCTCAAACGTTTCGCAGGCATCATAGTCGTCATCATCACTGAGTTTTTCATTTTCCGCACTAAGCTACGAATTCATCAAAGAGACAAGTGAAGTCAGTCCCTCGACCAACTTTCTCCCGGCCC